GTTGTGTAGCCCTTTATTAGCAACTAAAATAGAAGGTATCTGTTGTACAACACGGGTAGTAATTGACTATAACTGGAGATTTATTATATTCTAATACAGATCATTTATAAATGCAATTTCTTTATTAAAAAGCTTCCACCCATTTTTTGTTTGTTTGTTTGTGTACAATTTGCAAAACTATTCTGAAAGCGGAATATATGTGCACAAGTCTGCAAAGAGTGCAAATTTAGGATATGGTAAATGCTTTACGAGTTACTTTCAAACAACTGTCTGCGGCGACTGGGCCTTTACATTGTCATCTTTTTTGATCAAAATATTTTGATGCCAGCCTTCCTTCCACTGCCCTAAACTATAAAGCATTTTTTAATGAGTTGAAATTAGGGAAGGACTACACCTACTAGAAAAGAAGAGAAGAAAGTTCTATTAGTTGGAGGTTTCAGATCCCCCCAAACCAGGACCAGTATCTTGGTAAAGGCTAGGCTGGGACCCCGGACAGAGTATGAGTATGTGCAGGTGGCATCCCTGAGGATTCAGAGCTTCAGTGGACCGTGAGTGCTCCGGCTGCGTAACTCACTGAACTGTCTTGCCAGTTTCTACACTGGCTTGACTGGGCATAATTCAAAAAGGAAAAGCTCATATTCATTCCATTCTTCTGGAGCTCTGTGATAGCCTAGAAAAAGAAAAACTTGGTTATGAAAGTCCAGCACCTTAACCACTATGCCCTAACCACCACACCACTTGCCAGCTCCACACAAACTTTTATAAAATAGAATGAGATAGAACACTTCTGCCATTACTTTGATAACAAAAATACGGAAAAACTCCTTACAGGAAATGAAAATGACAGACTGATATTCTTCATGAACACTGATGTAGACATTTAGAAAATTTTAGCAAGTTCAATGTATCAAAAGGTGGATAGCATTATAATGGGCGCCCTCTGAATGTAGCGGTGGTTTGATTTTGCCCACGTCACAGCCCAGCTCTCTTTTACTCTCCTGTTTAATGTTTTCTTGCTGCATATTAAAGAGAAAAAAAAAGATAATTCCTTATCCTCTCAAAGAGCTTCTCCTAACCTAGCTTCCTTATAATTAAATATTAATCATCATATACCATACTTCCTGAAATTCATAAGGTCACTTTTTTAAAATTATAAAATATTGCTTCCTCTATAAACCAAATCTTGGCCATTTCTGTCTAAATAACTTGGAATCTTTCTTTGGTCTGACTTTGACTAAGAAATTTTAAAAGTATATTAAATTAAAATCCAGATCTAAGAGGTATGCTAGAACTTTTACTTCAACTGTGGATTGAGTCATCATTTAATTTATAAAGTTTTTTTAAATTCAATGTAGACATTAGAAAGTTAGTGCAGCTTATTCTACCTTACATTTCAAGAAGTTAGGGGGCCAGCATGTGGTATACTGGTTATGCCCTTGGACTCCCACATGATCAACCACAGTTTGAGTCCCAGATTATATGCCCAAAATCCCAAGAGGAGAATAGAGGAGAAGGCATGGCTAACCTTCTGGGGGATGATTACTAGCTTTCTGCCTCTGTCTCTGGCAAGCACACATGCCCTATAGCAAAAATCTCTCAAAGAAAAAAAGAAATTCAAAAGATAGTTTAAACCCTTGGTTGACAGGCTTTACTTTGGTGAACCAATACTGCTGAAGAGAAGAACTGACCGGCCAGGATGGCACAGCACTTACACAGCTTGTGTAATGATCATATCTGTGATGCTGAGGCCATAAGAGATGGTTCTAGGTTTGTGTCCCAAGGTCTCCTCCCATTCCATGCTGGGCACATGTGTGTGTGTGCCCATGATGCTAGCTGGCTGAGGTTGGAGGTGGATTGTGGCATGAAGACACCCTGATGAAGGTGCTTATCTTTCTCTCTCATGGAAGAAATAGTTTTCTTAAGGAGAGAAAGAAAAAAAAAAACCTTTCCTAAAAATAAACCAGGGCTAGCAGTTGGCATGGTGGTCAAGACACTGGATTCCCACATGGCTGACCATAGTTCAAGTCTTAGACCTCGAGACGAAAAATCACACTAGGCACGTGTGTATATGTGTCCAAAACACTGGGAGGAGAATGGAAGAAAAGGGATTACAGTATGGCAAGATCCCTTGGTAGTGATGTCTCACTTTGCCTTTCTCAGTCTCTGTTGAGTACACATATCCTATCGCAAAAAAATAAAAACAAAAACATCTACAAAATACTATCTTCCAAATCACATTTTTTCAAAACTTGCTGGGGCAAGCAGGTGGCATAGTAGTTAAAGCACTACACTTTCACATGGCAGACTGTGGTTCTAGTCCTGGATCCAGTGGCTTGAAAAATCATACTGGGTGTGTGTGGGTCCATGCCCAAAATCCTAAAAGGAAAATGGAAGAGAAGGGATTGCAGCATGACCACCACCCCCCGGGAGGTGATTTCTCACTTTTCTATCTCTCTGTCTCTCTCTGGAGAGTACACATGCTCTAGGACAAACATCTTTAAAAATAAATTTGCTGTAAGGTACGTGTACTCACAGGAGACAGAAAAAGAGAGGGAAAGTGAGTAAGCACCCCCTAGAAGGGATGGTCATACCACAGTCCCTTTTCCTTCACCTCTCAGGATTTTGGGCACATCCACATATGTACTAGGTGTGTTTTTCAAGACCTCTGGGTCCAGAACTCAAACCAGCAGTTGGCCATATAGGATCCAGCAGCCCTAACCACCATACCACTGGCTGGTTCTCATACCACATTTCAAAAACAATGGACTTCAAGGCCCTACCCTAGAGTACTCTGGACTACATTACCTCCTCTATTACCTCTTGGCCTCTCTAGGCAAAGAGCTCATTGTTACTTCCTTCTCCTGCTTTTGACTGTATACTTTCTGAAACTCTCAGATTTTCTTCAGTAAATCCAAACTGGTTTATTTATTACAAGAAAAATGTTATAGCTCTATCTAAAATACAGCTAACCAAAACTTCTGCCTCTTACTATTTTTTAAATGAAATAAACATTAGCATTTTGTTTTAAAGAGAAAAATATACATGTCTTATTAAATTATGTAAATCTAAAGTTCAATAGAAGAATCTTCCTTTTTTTTTTTTTTTAGTCTGGAGCACTAAATAAAATGACTTAACAGTTCACTTGAGTCTATATTTGCAAAGAAAATATTGGAACTGATTGAGTCAAGAAAAATTATTAGTCTCTATTTTATATAATTTTGTAAGTAATACTTTAAAGTATTAATCTATATTTCGATGATAAACTAACTTCATTCAAACAATTAACCATTGGAAGTCCAAATAATGATCAGGAACTAGGAAGAAAATTAACTTTATGTACATAAAACATTGTTACAATATATCACAATAATAATTAAGATATTCTGAAATATCACAGGATAAAAGCTACAAGGCAAGGCTTCCTAAGGATACTCACATTTAATAACACCCCAATGGGATGTCTTCCACATATAGTATTATGGTATTTCTTCAAGTAATTGCTAAAAGATACAGGGTCTAATTGTTCTATAATACTCATACCCTAAAAAAAAGAACAAAAAAAAGGGAAAAAGAAGAAAAAGAAAATTAAAAAAAGAACAAAATGTATTATTTCCTACTTATATTTTAAAATATAATCATAGCTAAACATAATTGTTTAATTAAGGAGACACAAAAAACATACATTAAATAAACCTTTTGAATCATCAAATTCATTTATCAAAGGTAATCTCATTATACAATAATCAACTCGCTACTGATAAAAAAATTTTAATCCACAGTTTATTTTCTTTATCCTTTGGGTATGTTTCTATACTACCTTTACCTGTTGTCATTTAGCTCACAATCCTCAAGCATTTCACAATTGTATGTTCTCCTTATATAAATATTTATAAAAGTAAATATGCTATGAAAATTTTCATATGAAATCTAAAATTAAATTTGATTCATGTTGTTTTCCCCTATATCTACTATATTAAACATGTCACTGGCATGAAAACCAATAATTAAATATAATTTAACTATTTATATAACATATGCTTAAATATCAATAGTATGTTGACTAAGGGCATTTAAAATTATTAGCAAATATCTAGAAAATGTGATAAAAAGAAAATATCACCAACTAAGTAAATATGTTAATTAATTTAAAGCTCTTAAAAGACTGATAAAGCAACATAGGTTTTTATGAACAAGTTTTTAAAAAAATAAAGCTTTTATCTCTTTCTATTTTAGACTACAATATCTTTATTCTCATAATTTGACTTCAGAGTAAAAATTTTGAGAGTACTGCTAAAACACCCACTAATACATGAACATCTCCATATTTTAAATTCTGATTTCTCCACATGCAAGATATAATGTATTTATCAATCATTAATAGAGAACAGCTTTAAAATCACTGGATGAGACAAATATTCTAATTCATTCACCAATTTATCTCACATTATTTCCTTATTCAAGTAAAACATTTTATATTTGGAGTCAATAAACTGGATTAATATCCTGTGGTAGAATGTAAATAGTGGTTTAACTAGGGTCTTAACAGGCATAATCTCCCCTCCTCCCCCTGCAGTATTTTAACATAACGGGTACAATGTAAAAACACTGAGAACAATCAGATGAAGTCCCATAATTAAAAAGTTGTCTGAAAATGATAGTAAACAGTAGATGACATGCATATTTTATAGTGATAGCATATAAATGAAATTTTATAATTTTTTTCAGGATATTCAAGTTCTTCATAAACTATCATTTTCCTACAAATTCTGAAAGATGGGTATATACATGTATAGTCAACTCTGAATTGCTTGCACATCAATCCAATACTCTCTCAGATTTATCCACAACCAGTTTTCAATACTATTGGGTTGTTGGGAAAGCCATGATGCATTTTTGCATAGAAAAACATAAAAATACGTCATGACTTTCCCAGCAGCCTAATAACTTGGTTTTCCCCTGCCAACCAGAAAATGTCCAGGTCAACATTCTCCACTGGCATTTGGTACAATCACAGAGAAATACAATCTGACTTAAAGTTAAAACCAAAATAAATAATATCATAATTCTGGTGCTAGGAAAAAAAGAAAATCAAATACCAAGACTTGGTAATGCAGATAGGATTACAAATCTCTTCCATAAATAATAATCAAGATATAACTCCCCTACAAATGAGGAATTTAGGCATTAAACAAGGTAAATCTTGGCTATGGATTTCTAATCTTGAGCTCTTTCTCACTGACTTCTCTGATTCATTATAGCATAACAAGAATGATACTAACATTTCTTTGAACACGCTCATGTAACTACAACTGGCATACATGTTGTCAGAGACTTTGAAATGAATGAAGTCTACCACAGCTTACCTTAAATAGAGTTCTACTCATTAATAAACAATGTGACATTAAAGATCCAATGTACACTTTAATATTAAAATTTTGAAATCATTCTGAACAAACTTATCACATTTACATATTGATATGTATTCAAAGAGAAGAAAATTAATGATGACATTTGTATCAGACAAAGAATTCAAAGTTCTAGCCTAGAAATGCTCATATAGAAAGATATAAAGTTATGAATGTGAAAAGACACTATTTAGCGTAATGGCTATGTCGCTGGACTCCCACATAGTTGACCGCGGTTCATGTCCTGGACCCGGTGGCTTAAAACTCACGCCAGGCACATGTGCGTGCGTGCCCAAGATCCCGAGAGGAGAATGGAGGAGAAGGGATTGCGGCGTGACCATCCCCCCCTGGGGGGTGATTTCTCGCTTTCTGTCTCTATGTCTCTCTCTGGCTGGCTAGCGCACGCGCCCTATAGTGAAAATCTCCCCCCCCCCCAAAAAAAATGAAGATACTGGTTAAATTACAATGGAGAAAATAAAAAATTTACAGTACGGAATTAACAGAGATCAAATGTGTTAAAATGTTAATTCCTTAAATTGTGCTATATACCTACTAGGGCAAGAATAAACTTCATTAAAATCAATTCAGTGCCAAATGTGATGGTTCAAGAGGTACACTTTTTTATAAAGGAGGAATAGAGAGAAAACTTAAGGTTTTACTCATGAGTGAAACTTGGAAAATTCAAGAAGTATGCAAAACAAAAGCAATAATGAGAAAGAGTGCAAAATGAGACATCCTTAACTAATACAAAATACTGATACACTTTTATATATGTTTATGGTTTGATAATAACTGTGAAATCGCTATTACCAAAACACCAAGAAAAATGAATGCTAATTCAATGCTATTGCCAAAAAATCCAAGATGAAAAAAGAAAGTACTTTCCCAAATAAATATGCATAATTTACATTTTTATCCCTTGAAATACTAAAATATACAGTCAGTGAATCTAAAGTCCAGGAAACTGTAAGTTTCCTAGGACCTAATATGGTAAAAATTTGATTGTTTGCATGTACTAAACCTGATATGGACTGGTGAAATACATCAGTACCCACTCAGCTCTAAGATATAAAGCAGACACCGGGAACCAGCAGTTAGCGTAATGGCTATGTCACTGGACTCCCATGTAGTCGACCGCAGTTTGCGTCCCGGACCTGGTGGCTTAAAACTCACGCCGGGTGCGTGTGTGTGCGTGCCCAAGATCCCGAGAGAATGGAGGAGAAGGGACTGCAGTGTGACCATCCCCCCTGGGGGGTGATTTCTCACTTTCTGTCTCTATGTCTCTCTCTGTCTGGCGAGTGCAAGCACTCTATAGCAAAAATCTCTCCAAAAAAAAAAAAAAAAAGCAGACATCATAAAGACCAAAAGCCTACCCATTGAAGTATAGGTTTCTGAGGAATTCAGGAGTTTCACAAGAAATCCAAAGACTGAACACTAACTCCCTAAACTGGGGAACACAGAGTGACAGGGGGACGACTCTATCATAGTGCTTGACTCTTCACATGACTGAAATCGTGTGATGTCAAATCCCAAGAGTCAATCCTAAACTGAATAGGCAGTTACTAAGATAGATGTAAATTCAGAACTCAGATAAAACGAATACCTTCTCTTTCAGAAAAAGTGAATTTACACTTAATAAAATGGCTATTTAAAAAGTAACTTTCTCTCTAAAGCAACAAAGTAGTATTAAAACCTATATAAAGGCATTTAAGAAAAACTACAATCTTGTCTTTTCATTATGACTATATAATTAATAACCACATTAAATCATTAGGGGCCAATCAGGGGTACAGCTGTAGAATGCACTGTTCTGTAAGGCTGATTACACTGGGAAGATCTGGGTACATGTCTGGACACACATGATGTGGGCTAGCTAACAGCCTCAGGATTTTAAGCACGCATGCACCTGCGCCCGGTGTGATTTTCAAGCTACCAGGTCTGGAACTCAAACTGTGGTCAACCATGTGGAAGTCTAGCACCTTAAATCACCATGCCACTTGCTGGTCCCTAAAAATAAATAAACTTTTAAAAAGCTATTAATCCTGGGACTGGCAGTTGGTGTGGTGGTTGAGGGTGCTGGACTCCCATGTGGTGGACCAAGGTTCAAGTCCCGAACCTGGCGGCTTGCTTTCTCTCTCTCTGTCCCTCTCTGGTCGAATTAAAATAAATAAATAAAGTTAAATAATTTTTTTTAAAAAGTTATTAATCCTATGAACTCATTTCAAAGTATGGATATACATTAATATACGAAGTTATACTTCAGATAAGTATGATAGGCAAAGGAAATATTCTAGTTTCCTGAAAATGCATCAAGATAAAGTCTTAGTAAAAGAAATTCTATGAGGAAAAAAAAAAAAATCACCCTACAGGTAGCAGTATTAAAAAACAATGTACTAATAAGTTGCTATCTTAAAGGTAATATTATAAAATCTACTAAGAAGCTACTGGCCTAAGTTCAAGAGAAAAAAGTATAAGCTGACAAATATGGACAATTTTCCCTATCAAATAGCAGAAAGATGAGAAGAAAAGTTGATGTTCAAATTAAATAATGTGACTAATAATTAAATGGAAGGAAAAGAAATTAAAATGGATCACTATAGTGACTTTTCAGTTTATCTAGGACAAATTATAATCTGCTAATGTCCATAATGAAACATTGGTTTAACTCAAAAGTGCTATAGTAAAAATGACAACATGTGGCCATGTGATACATAATAAACTATGTATAAATGTGACTAAAATTTCAAGCAAGTAACCTAAACTACATAAAAATCAATGTCTTAAAATATGTCTACTTTAGTCACTATAATAACTGTAAAGTGCTAACCACAAAAAGTCTGTTGCTGATAAATATTTTATTTTGCAAGAAGACTTTCAGAATCTACATTTCTAACACAGTTAACTACTTGTTTTTTTTCCCAACTATGTAACACTTGGCATATACAGTTTGTTTTCATATATTTTTTAATGTATTTTTTCCCCTATAGTAGTCTCCCAGCTCCCCTCCTTCCATAACCATGGTTTCACTTTCCATGATTTCATTTACCTAGGGTCAAACACTACCCAGAAATACTAAATGAGAAAGCCCAGAAACTAATAATTCATAAATTTTAAGTTGCATGCTGTTCTGAGTAGC